ACAATGAATCTGATGATGAAGAAAGCAATGTTGAAGGGACTAAATAAAAAACTAGATAAAATTAAGTCCCTGAGTTACAATGATTTAGTCCAACACTTCCCAACCATTTTCACCCCACGGCACACTTACCTAAATAAAAAAGCACTGCGGTACAGTGGATGCAGAGTTGGGGGTGGGGGGAGGAGGAAAGGTGGTGCCGCACAGCCAGCCGGACACCAACCGGGGGGTGGGAGGGGTGGGGTGCTGCACAGCCAGCCAGACACTGACGGGGAGGGGTGGCGCACAACCAGCCAGATGGCATTTTGGGCTGCAGCCATGCCTCCCTGCCTGGCTAGAGCCACACTCCCCATCTGTCTGTGTCCGTAGCAGCAGCAAGCGGGGGGGTGGCTCCAATCCAAAACCAGCAGCACACCTGGACGTGCCTGACGGCACACAAGTGTGTTACGGCACACCAGTCAGGAAATGCTGATTTAGTCAAATGGTTTCAGAGAAGATCATGATTTTAGCATTAACAGCAATAGTACATAGTTTTTAAATACCCCTAAACCAATGAGCTTCACACTTGACACTTGTAGGCACAAAGAAGAGATTCTCCTTGTCAACTGAGTCCTTGACCTTTTTTTGACAGATGCGCCTATATCAGTGTAGGGTGTAATGACACCTGTGCACTATGACATGGACCAAGGCCAAAGAGCTGTTATTAGTAATAAGTATTTGTAGTGCCAAGGTATCTACCTAACTTGTTTGGACTCCACTGTGTTGGGCACTATACTGACATAATGAGTAACAGTCTCTACCATTAAGCATGGAAAAAATATTCATCATACCAATTTCAAAGAATTAGAAAGTAAGTTAAGTAGGAACAATTTTTCATCCCGTTCTTTGCTTAGAGCCATACCATCCCTCATAGCTGATTAGTCCAGGCCCACTTCATTATCTGTGTCTACAGCAATTCTAATGTGACGTTCTTTATGATTGTTGCCACCTGAATTTACATCTGAAGCTTTAGAACAGGGGCATCAAACTCACCCATGCCCTGGGCTGGAACAGGACCACAGGGCTCCTTATAAGCTGGATCCACAGGGCAAACTGCAACTACAGCAACAGCAGAACAAGCGGCAGTTACATTGGGCCAGCAACTGAGGCAGCAGAGGAAAGGGCTGCAGGTCAAACAGCTGCTTGTCACAGCATTTGTGGTGCAAAAAACCACAAGGCGAGCAAGAGTGTGTTGGCACAGCCCTTGCTCACCTCCCCGCCACTAACAGTCATGTCCAATGGGGTCTGGGATTCAGCAGCAGTCTCACCTCTGCCATTGCCACCCCTACATATTCTGGCCTGCCAGTAGCCCAAAGGCAAGGTGGAGCAGCTCCACAGGCCATCTGGCCCATGGGCCATATATTTAACACCCCTGCTTTACTATATAATAGATCTTGGGTTCTTCTCCTGGTTTGGATTATCTTTGCCTCCAGTTTCCTGATGCAAAAGGGGACTGCATAAGAATGTAAGACAAATAAACCATTTCTCACTGCACTTCAAATTAGGCATTATATTCTGATTAAATCGTTTGATGACTGTGGTTATTATTCTGTGCTAAGATGTAATAGTGAAACATACCTGAAACTCTTTCATGCTCCACAAGCTTTGCGTAGAAATTGAATATCTGTTCTTGCACTTTGCAAACAGATCTTTTAATCTTTTCCCTTCGGGTCACCATGTAAGTCAGATTACGAACCTAGAAAACATAAATCATGCTATCACTGAGTTTTATAAAACCTACATTTTATGTTATTCACATGAGTTGCAAGTAAAAAAAAATAATAATTAGTAAAATCCCATTAAAAAAAATTAAAGAGAAACAACCTGTGCATGCACAGGAATTTATTGTAAACACAAGACTGTTAACATTCTAACTATTTTTATCAAACTTTTTAGATTCACGGTGTTAATAAACTTGGGTAAAGCCTAGCTGTCACAAAGGTACTTGGAAGCTTCAGTCATGAATCCATAAGACCCAATCACTGGTACAGTAGTTTGTCAAAAACTTGGCAGGACTATGAAAAGCCCACAATAAGGTAATAGCGTAGCTATAAATACTCACATAATATATACAAAAAGCGAGAGAGACTGGAAATTCTCAGAAAAACCCAACTATAAATTGCTCCAAGCTGGCCTGAAGGATCAGAATGCAGGAACCAATTTGCTCCTTGTTCCCTGAGCCAGCAAGCTGTAGAGGCATTGTGTCGCTCAAGTGACCTCCCTAATGTTCAGGGAAGCACTGAAACATGCCTGCATAGAGGAAGGACATCAACATTAGGTCCTTGATGTTGTGGGGTACAAATAAAGTGAAAAGTGAGGGTTCGTTGAGGACCATCCCTCCAATCTCCTCTACTCAATTATTAAAATAAACTTGCAAATGATGCTTTATGGCTTGCAGGACCAAAATTTGGAGAACTAAGGTACTATATGTTGTCTTTCATGAGTCTTCCACGTGGGTCAAAAGTAGTAAATGCGTTAGATTTGTGTATGCTACCCCATGACAGATGTAGCACAAAGATAATCCTATGATTCATCACAGACTTGGAAGGGACCTTCAGGAGTCATCCAGTCCAAACCCCTGCACAGATACACAGGTTCCCTCTTCCCAAACTATTCCAGGCAGATGATACCTATGCAGCCTCTTCTTAAAAACTTCCAAAGAAGATTCCACAAATTCCCAAGGCAGCTTGTTCCCCTACCATTTGGTTCTTAGTCAGAAAGATTTTCCTGAGAGTTTATCTAAATCTGCTCTGCTGTAGATTTAAATTTGCTTTGGTAGTTCATGTCCTGCCCTCTATGGCAAAAAAAAAAAAAAATTTCCATCTTCTTTCAGACAGCCTTCATGTCTCCCCTTCTCTCCAAACTAAACACACCTGAATCTTTCAACCTTTCTTTATATAACTTCGCTGCTGGCCTCTAGATTCTCTCTGGTTTCTCTACATCCATCTTATTATGCCCAAAACTGGACACAATTATTTCAGCTAAGATCCAACCCACACTAAACGAAGTAGCACTGTCATGTCCCATCTCTTATGTACATTGGCTGTTATGCACCCAAAACCATATTTACTTTTTTCTGTGACATCATCACATTGCTCACGCAGATTGAGCTTTTGATACACCATAACCCTCAGATCTTTCCTGGCAGTTTTACTTTCCCTTATTCTCTATTTGTTTTATGTTCCAATGGGCAACTTTTTAAACTGGTCTTTGTTGAACTGCATTTTGCTCCCCACAGTTCTGTTCCAAAATGTATCAAGATCTCTTTGACTTTTAACCCTACTCACAAAAGTGTTGGCAACTCCTTCCAATTCTGTATTACCTGCTAATCTGACAGGCATACCATCCACTGTTGCATCCAAATGATCAGTAAAAGTGTGTTTGAAGTTGAACAAGAACAGAACCCTGTGAAAACTCACTCAAGGCCTCCTGCCTATGCAAAAACTGATATATTGACAGGTATTCTGTCTGCAGTTATTCATTCAGTTGTGCGTCCAAGCGTACTGGCAATCCTATGTAGCTCACATTTCATAGTAGGTAGGGTCGGAAGGGACCTGAGCAGATTATCAAGTCCAACCCCCTGCTATGGCAGGAAAGAGGACTGGGGTCAAACGACCCCGGCAAGGTGTTCATCCAGCCTCCTCTTAAAGACCCCCAGGGTAGGAGCCAGCACTACTTTGCTTGGAAGTTGGTTCCAGATCCTAGCCACCCTGACAGTGAAGTAGCGCCTCCTGATATCTAACCTGAATCTACCCTCTGCCAGCTCGTGACCATTATTTCTAGTCACTCCTGGTAGTGCTGGGGGGAACAGGGACTCCCCCAATACCTGCTGGTCCCCCCTGACTAGTTTGTAAATGGCCACATGGCCACTAGATCCCCCCTCAGCTTTCTCTTGTGGAGGCTGAACAGGTTCAGGTCCCGTAGCCTCTCCTCGTAGGGTCTGCCCTGCTGCCCCCTGATCATGCGAGTGGCCCTCCTCTGGACCCTCTCCATGTTGTCCATATCCCTCCTGAAGTGCGGTGCCCAGAACTGGACGCAGTACTCCAACTGCAGCCTGACCAGTGTCGCATAGAGGGGGAGGATCACCTCCTTGGACCTGCCTGAGATGCACCTGTGGATGCATGACAAGGTGTGGTTGGCCTTCCTGACCGTATCCCCACACTGTCAGCCCATGTTCATTTTGGCATCAATAATGACTCCAAGATCCTTTTCTGCCTCTGCACTGATAAGAAGGGAGTTCCCCAGCCTATAGGTATGCTGCTGGTTCTTCCTCCCTAGGTGCAGTACCTTGCACTTGCCAGTACTGAAACCCATCCTGTTCTCATCTGCCCACCCCTGTAACCTGTCTAGGTCCAATTGCAGCCTTTTTCTCCCTTCTAGCGTGCCCACTCCTCCCCACATCTTAGTGTCATCTGCAAATTTGAACTGGGTGCTTTTTACCCCCTCGTCCAAGTCACTGATGAAAATGTTGAACAGTGCAGGCCCAAGGACCGAGCCCCGGGGAACCCCACTGCCCACATCCCTCCAGGTCGAATAAGACCCGTCCACCACCACCCTCTGGGTGCGGCCCTCCAGCCAACTAGTGACCCATTTGACTGTGTAGGTGTCAATGCCATAGTTTTTTAATGAGAATCTGGTGAAAGACGGTGTCGAAGGCCTTCCTAAAGTCCAGAAAGACTACATCCACTGCTACACCTGCGTCTAAGGATTTTGTGACCTGGTCAGAGAAGGCCACCAGGTTGGTCTGACAGGACCTGCCTCTAATGAACCCATGTGGGATGCCCCTAAGCATAATCTCCCCTGCAAGGACACGCGCCAGGATAATTCTCTCAAAAAGCTTACCAAGGATTGAGGTAAGACTAACTGGCCTATAGTTTCCTGGGTCCTCCTTCCTCCCTGTTTTGAAAATGGGAGCCACCTTGGCCCTTTTCCAATCCTTTGGCACCACACCAGAGCACCACGAGTGCTCATAAAGCCAAGCTTATTCAAGAAAATGTTGTGTAACTGTATAATAAACTCTACTGAAATACAGGTATATTCTGTTAAAACTCATTCCTGTTACTCACTGGTTTGATATGATTTGTTCATAACAAATCCAGGTTAACTTCTAGTGATCACCTCTTAATCTTCCAAGATTTTACAAACTGACCATTTTGTATGAAATTCCATGCGACTGGGAGGAAAGTTCATTAGAAGAGCATGTCTGCTATAACAAGGTTAGTTAATTTCCTGCATAATACTACTTTAAAAATGTTTTCTGCTGTTGGGATTTTTTAAGGCACAGATTTGTAATAAACAGGGTTTGTTACAGTGAGGTTGTACTGTAAACTGGCTCTAGGAATTTATCAGATATTCACATCACGCTAACTGGTCTCCAAATCCTTGGGTCCTCCTTTTCTTCCCTTTTAAAAATGGACACAATATTAGCCTTTCCCCAGTCTACTCGACTTTGCCTCTCATCTAAGATTTTGCAGACATTGCCAAGATTTCTTCAGTTAGTTCTTTCAGTACCCTACAATTCGCCTTGGGTTTGTTGACTTAAATTCATTCAAAGTTGTCAAAAGTTCTCTGAAGGCCACTATCCTTATGATTTCCAGCCCTTCCCCTTCCATATTTTTATTAACATTTGCAGATGTCAGTAGTGAAGACTGATGCAAAATAGGCATTGAGCAGTTCCACCTTCTTTCAGTCTTTCATTAGTGACTCACCTTTTCCACTGGGCAGCAAGCTCAAAGTGCTGAGTGTCTCTGATTTAGCTTTCCTATCTGACACATCTGTAGAACCTGGTCTTTGCCGTCTAACATTTTTTACCTTTGCTTTCCTGATTTTGCCCCTACATATTTATGTTAATCCCTTATATTCATACTAGAGGCAAACCCTACCTTCCATTTCTTGTATGCATCTCTTTGGCTTTCTGGCTTACACATTGGCCTTTTACAGTTCTTTCTATCTTTCCATTGTGTTAAAGTGACTTGTTGATAAGGTTCCAATGTCTGTCTCAATGGAACAGCCAGCCTTCCTTTTCCTTTGTCTACCTGTGGGAATTTACCTATTATTTTTCCAAGTCAACTGGAATCTGAATTTTTAAAGTCCGCTGTCCGCTCTCTGCTAGGCTCGGGCCTTTCCTTAGGATAATTAATTCTATGTTTATAATTTCTTCCTCCCACATTTCCAAGCACCATCATACTTGCAAGCAGGTCATCCCTACTGGGGATGCTGCAGGGATTAAAATTGTAACCAAATTATTTATTGTTCATCAGCCTCTGTATTGCTTGATTTTTTTTTTTTTTTTTTTTTTTTTTTTTTTTTTTTTTTTTTTTTTTTTTTTTTTTTTTTTTTTTTTTTTTTTTTTTTTTTTTTTTTTTTTTTTTTTTTTTTTTTTTTTTTTTTTTTTTTTTTTTTTTTTTTTTTTTTTTTTTTTTTTTTTTTTTTTTTTTTTTTTTTTTTTTTTTTTTTTTTTTTTTTTTTTTTTTTTTTTTTTTTTTTTTTTTTTTTTTTTTTTTTTTTTTTTTTTTTTTTTTACAGAAAAACACATTTCTAACTTCACAGAATTTGTTGTTTCTCTTTATTTTATTCTTATTGATTTGGACCACATGAAAAGTTAGCATCACAGCTGACATCCCAGACACACTGTCCAGCACGTCCTCTTTCTGTACATTCAAATGTATTATTTTTGAGATGACAAGTTTAACTGATAAAGACAGCTGTGTTGAGGTAGCACACTTAGATTTCTCTGTGGCTTTAGACTCAGTATAACACAACATACCTTTCTAAAAATATCAATACTGTAACAGATGTATATGGCCCATAATGAACTGAAACCTGGCTAACTGACTGATCTCCAAATGCAATTGTTAACTGAAAATTATCAATATGTATGGTTGTTTTGAGTAAGGACTCATAGGAACAAATCATCATCCAATGCCAATCAGAACTTTTATGAGTAATCTGTTAGAAAATAAGTATAATCATTTTCTTAGGCCTGTAGCTTTTAAGAAAAGGGACATTATAGAAAATCTGGTCTGCTCTCCTGTATAACACAGGTCATCATAGCATTTTATTCACTCACATAGCCGACAGCAGAAAGATTCAAGGACCAGCAAGTCATCTATAAAGATTTGTCTTCCCTTGGCAAGCTTGGCACAAGTATAAATTTTAATACAACTAAATCAAGGTTGTACATCACAGAACTAGGAAGGTTGACTATTTCCTGGAAAACAGTGAGTCTAAAAAAAAAAAAGACTTGTGGTCCTTCTGGATAATGAGCTGAATATGAACTAATACTGTGATGCTGCAGATAGAAAACTAATATTAAATTTAGGCTGTAAACAGACAGCTCATTTGAGGCAGTCTTGATTGTCTCAAGATTTTGATGCAGCTCAAAACAGTTGAGTGGCACAGCCCTTTACATACACAGCCCTTCCGAGCTGTATTGCTGTTTCTCTGCCAGGAGGTGGCCTGAGAGAGCACAAAGCTTGTCCACGGAATGAACGGCAATTAAGTTAAAGAGCTGCAATTAACTTACAGACACAAAATGATGTCCCAGAAAAGTGTTATCATTTTCTCCAGCACGCTTCACAGGTATTTGAAGCGAGATAATGGATATGAACATGTGTAGGAACCTGGCACAAAAAAGGCTTTTCAGGAGAAACACAGGGTCCGTTTACAGCCTTAGAGGTATAAACAATGGAAGTATCACCTCAAAGTAGCAATATAGTGATATTACCTCCATGTACATCATCTTCTAGACCACCCGCTTGTATAAGGTGCCCTGTTTTGAGGTCCACATGTTTAAAAAAGCTGTTGAGAAACTGGAGAAGGTGCAGTAACAAGACATAAGAAAAACCTGATGTCTAGAGAACTCACAGAGGGAGTCTCAAGGACCTCAACTTACTACACTCAACAAAGAGAAGGTTAGGAGACTTGCACATGGTCTGTAAGTACTTATATAAATTTAAGATTTCTGATGCTGCACACATCTTTAATTTTGTGGAAAGAAAATACAGCAAGAGCCACTGGCTGAAAGTTAAAGCTGGAAAGAAGAGAGAAGTTAAAATTAAGTACAAATGTTTTCTAGTAAGAGTAATTAGCCTTTGGAAGCATTTATGAAGGGATGTGGTGGCTACTCCCATATGTTTAAATCAAGACTGAGTGTCTTTCTACAAGACACTCTAGTTCAAACACAAGTCAACAGACTTGATTCAAAAACTACTTTGTCAGGTTATGTGGCCTATATTATAACAAGAGACCAGGCTAGGTGATCCGTCCCAGCTTTAAAATCTATAAATCTCTCTACTGGTTAATCCAGGAGAAAAACACTGAATTCAAGTCCTTGTTAGGCTAGATGTATTAAGGATAAAATACCGAATCAATGTCCTTAAATTTTAGTATTCAAAACCCAGTTCTGTAGAATACCATGTGCTTGGATACCAAACATACCCCAGTGAACAGCTAATGTCAGACTGCAAAGAGCGTCAATAGAAAAACAAGCAGCCTCAAATCAAAGATACAGCAAAAGTTTGTCTGAAAGACATGCAACATGAAAAGAGTTAATAGCTTCCAATTTTGAAAATATAATGCTGCCCAAAAGCTACCAGTGTCATCAATAAACAGTGCACCCAGCAGTATAACTGTCCAGAAACATCAGGATGCAGTACTGAATGCCAGGACCTGTTATTTCTGTGGGTGACCTGTTCTGCTCTATTAAATTTCAATGCAGTCCACAGAGTCCTGGTAGTCTGACAATGTAACCCTGGCTTGGGACAAAGTTTGAAGGGTCCTGTGTGATGGATAGGACCAAGGATATTTATTACCAGTGAACATGTTCATTAGGTTAGGAACTTAACACCTTCCTCCTTGCAAGTGTAGGCACCGCAGTGACTTACCCTTTCCAGGTCCTGCCGGAGATGCGTGAAGAGTTGTAGCCTCCTGAACAGAACATCCTGCTCCCGCTTGGCCAGATTATCCTCTTCATCTTTCTTTGGGGTTATCAAGGGCTTGTTGAAATTGGCTTTTCTCTTGAGCTTCCAGTACTGGTACAGAAACTCCACAGACTCCTCGGGCAGCCGCAGGACCGTGGCCACTTCCAAGAAGTCAACAAACGTGTAGAATTCGTCCTCTAGCTGCTGAAGCTTCTGCTTGCGGACACTGACCCTGTGGGCCTCCTCCTGGTTTGTCTCAATGCTGTGAAAGGGCTCCAGGCGGGTAGGAGGAGAGCTGCCCCGTATCCCATTCTCATTCTCCTGGCTGGTGCTTTCACTGAAGTTTTCATCCTCCGGTTTCTTGGTGGAGCTGTGCTTGGGGCAGTATGACTTGAACTTGACTTCATCATTCTCTGCCAGGATGGTCTTCATCTCCAAGCCACGGTCAAATGCACAGGTGACATGAAATGCTGTCCGACAGTTTTTCACTGAACACTATGGAAAAGTTAAAAAAAAAATGCATTCACTATAAATAAAAAGCCACACATCATACAAAAATACCAATGCAGCCAGGACTCTTGGGATCAATGCTGTAGCAAAGCAGCTTTGTTACAGCTTGTAACATAACTGGATCTTTGCTTCTAAGATGTGTACTTTTTCTCTCCTTTAATTAGGTTTACAATTTAATGTTTTCCGTTCAGGCAACAATCAAGTGGCCTAGTGGGACATGAGTGATTAACTCCTCCCAGTTCTATCATGCTATTCAATAACCAGCAAATTCTCACAAGGACTTTCCTTGTGGTGATTGGAGCTAGTCACTTAAAGCAGTACTGTCAGAAGCAAAACGAGCCCCACTTTAGCTGTGCCAGCACTAGAGAGAGAGAGAAAGAGAAACAGAAACAGAGAGAGAGGGGGAAAAACCCAGTGGCTCTGAGCCAGTCTGATACTTTAATTAAAGTCTCTCCCAGCACCTGGAACTGTGCAATCCAAATGGCAAGAGCTGGGTGGGAGTCTTCTCTTTTATCATCAGTTTACAGTGTCACGTTTTAAATTACTAACAATCCCTACTTCACTGACTACTGCCCTTAATTCACATGAGGAACAAGACTTAAATTTGCTGCTTTCGTCATTTTCCAAGACTTCTCCCCTGCAGTGAACCCAGCCATCATAGAGTGATGGGCACTAGTTCAACCAATTTAGTGCTTCATTTTAACCATAAATAACTTTCTTTAGTGAAGTGTTGTCATGGCCATAACCCACCATAAACTGAGAGTAATATTAAAAAAAATCCCCTATTGATTCACACCTGTGTCCCCAATGAAAAGAAATAAATTAAAAGAGGAAATGAATGTCACTGATATTAACTATGACTGGACTCAACTATACTTAACCCAAGTGATCTAACCTTAAAGAGAAATGCACTGAGCCAGGATATTTATACAGTGCTTTGTAAGGAAGCCAAATATCTTTCTCCTCTGGGTTTTCCTGATCAGGTTGACTCAGCAGCCAGATGTCACATTAATGTATACTACAGTTTAAAACTACAGAGGTTTCAGATACATTTTCTTTAATAAAATCAATACATAAAAGAATACAAAAATGGTCAAACCCGCTTTGCCCTTTCCCTTCCTCCAAAGAAATGCTTTGCTGACAAACAGAGCACCAGCAGCCCTGTTGAATTTAAATTATGCTAAAGAAATATTTTTTGCTGTGGGTTCCAGGCCTCTATCACCTATGATAATTAGCTTGCAGTGTGGATAATGTTTTATTGAGGAGAGAGGAAACCTTGTCTCATCGGAAGGAAATCTGCTGAACTTGGAAGAAAATGCAGTCTCGTTTTTCCCAGCTTGCTGCAGCTGCCTTCTGCCCATCCCTATGCACACATCCAGCTGCTGGATTTTTAAATCACTGTGAACATCTCATAACATAAAACATCTCTGGAGAGACTGCCTCACTCCCTCAACTCATCTAGTTGATATTATTACCAATTTTATTATAGCAACTCTGTAAAATACTGTTTCTCCCAGCTGTATAAGTCTAATAGCACAAATTTATGTATTTACAAGCCATCAAAAATTCCCTCGTTCACAATCCTCATAATGCAAATACCCCACAATATTCCTGGGCAGTGTCACACACTGCTAGGATCAAGAGTATTGCCCCAAATTATGTTTAAAAAATGCCTAAAGTGACAACTATAACCTGCATATTCCCCCCACGTGACTGAATCTTTTTTCAGAAGCGTGTAAAAATAAATAAATACTCTGACAATGAAGCTGCAAAATTTCCTGAAAATAAGTATCAGGAGTGAAGACACTAGTTTGATCACTCCATTATGTAACAGCTGCCAGGAGGACAAACCTATCTGCAAGTACCTTTTAGCGAAGTTTGTTAAAGTGTTGTGGAGAGATTCCTTTTCTCAGTATGTATGGATTAGGAGGCTAGTATGTATTATTACATTATATTTCACTGGAACTTCTGCTGAACTGCTGTTTTACAACTCTTTCTGGCAACCCCAGTCACATGACTCAACACACAATGGGACAAGGGAAAGGGTGGCACAATCCAGTGATCTGAACAAAGGGCTGTAAGCTAGGGAATTTTCTCCCCCAGTCCCAGCACTAGCACCAGTACCCATTCTGGCCTTTGGCAACATGCCACAAAAGAAGAGCTCAATTTCCTCAGTTTCCTTATTTGTAAAATGGAGATAGTAATGTTTACCTACCTACATCAAAGGGATTCTGTGATAGCCGATTTGTTAAAGACTATAAAAGGCTTTGAAAATACAAAGCACTATGTAAACGCTAAATTCTGCTATTTTGGGCTAGTATTTCTGTGCCTACAATTGGCTCACCTACCCTTACTTTCTCCAGCAAAACAAATACATCACTTGTTTCAGAATGCATCAAACACACCTCTAGCCCCGCTCTCAGTAATTTCAGTGGGTCCTGAATCCAAGATGCAAATCCAAGATTTGGATCCAAGTAATATATACCATGTTAAATTCCTCCCAAAATTAACTCTCATTAAAAATAATCAGATCTATTAGCAACTTTCATTTCAAGAACTTTATAGATCTGATAACTATAGCCTACAAACAAGAAATAACCTGGCCTGTTTCTAAAATGCAAATATTTCCAGACAGATTAAACCAGTGTTTAACATCACACAGCCACATAGTGCATTTTATAATAAGAAGTGAAGAATCCGTATCCAATTGAAACTGAGAAAGTATGCAATGACACAAACTGGATTTTGGCCAAGAATGCAATTTGTTGGTATGAAACAGGATACTGATGCTCTTCTTTTGCTGCTAGATACACAGTCAAAAGATAAATTCTTTACCACATGGGGATCTACTTATTTTCAAGTGTGTGAAAGCCTCTGGGGTGCATGAAATCTTTGGGGCCAGGGAATTACAGCAGCCACAGTCCCTCAGCCTCAGAGGTGCATGGGGTGCCCCCATGGCTGGGAGCCCCTCAAGTGGGGAGAGATTATGCATTAGATCCCATTGTGCCTTTACCTGAATGTGTAGAAGGACTCTCAAAATAAGAGAGCTAGCGTTTGACACCTCCACAGTGCAGATGTCAGTGACTACATAAGAAGAGGCACAGCCATGCGCAGACGTTTCAGTTCTACAGGACACAGATAGTATCTGCAGGTGGTTATCTAACTTTCCCATGCGCCTTTGACAAGGTGCCTCTACCACAAAGGTGCCTACAGGTGGATTTTTTGGCATCCGTTTGAACATTTTACCCAAGGCAAATTACTGACTCATGCAAATTAACAAATAAAGAAACAAATGCCATTTAAAAGGCAAAGAGAATGCAGCACAAAATGGTTTGGTTTTTTTTCAATAACATGACAAGTACAGCCATTTCACATTTGGTATTTGTACTGTGTGAAAATTAGGAACCTTAAGAATTTCAAACTTCACTACCATCTGCTATAAAACTTTCCTGGGAAACAGAAACCAACATTTTTGGGTGTTAACTATGGGAAGTGCTAATTAATGAAACAGCAAATTGGGGAAATTCTTCAGTTTTTTGTAAACTGTATACACACACGCATATGTGCACATGCACGACACACACATATTCCTTACCTGTATGCACGCTCCCATCTTCTCATTGCAGAGGCTGCACACTAATGCCCATCGACTGCTGGGAATATGAGAGATCTTTGTTATGGGCTCCATTTTTTCTGGGCTGCCAATACTCACCTGAAAAAAGGTTGTTGGGGAACAATGAATGTTAATCAGTAAAAGCAAACCCTTCCATGAGGAATCTCTCGCTGCCTGGTGACGAGACCCAATTCATATGTTCCAGATTCTTCAGTTTACAGAGAGCAGAAAGTCCAGTTTTTAAACAATTTTTTCACCAATAAAAGTGAAATAGCTATAAAGTGAACCTCATTACCTCAAAATGATTTTAGAGAATGTGAATATAAATGTTAGCAACCTTAATTCCTGAAGGTTCCAATCTGCCCACCACTCTCTTATTCAATTTCTACAGTTCAGTTTACAAGTTAAAACAATGCTCACTAAATTAGCTTTCCTAGCAGTTCACCTTTTTTAGGCCTATAAACCATTTGTATTGCAGTTGGCCATACTAATGTAATTAATTCTCTCTCATAAATCGTGTACGATCCTGGCAGACTCAAAGTCCCCTGTGTCTGACTGCAAATAGATATTTCTCTGTTTTTATCTTGTGCTCCCGTCTACTGCCTGACAGGAAATACTTTGGGGACATTACAGTCATCACAGCAACACATATCAGATGGGGTGTGTTGGAGCAGACTTAGTCTTTCTCAAGACTGCTCCAATCCTGAATATGGGGGCTACACATTCACATTAAAGCTGGTTAGAAACCAGCTACAGAATTGTTACGTATTTTTAAGCATTAACTTTATAGCTGGTTGGGTCTTTTTATAGATGGACAGCCACTTGTATCATGTGGTAATTACTTTGCACATGTCACTGGTCTAAATTTATTACAGGATTAACCAGTTAATTACGTAATATACATAACGTGTGGCAGGGGCCTAGGTGCATCAGGTGAATCAAGACCTACCTCTGGTATCCACAGAGCACAGCTAACATGGACCCACTTAGTCCCACTTCGAGTTGGCTTCATAGCTCCACCTTTCTTGGGACACAGTAAACACTTTGGCTGAACACCAAGCGCGCAGGTCCGGCACAGCCAGCTGCCTTCTGGCACCTTCAGGATTCCATAACATGCCTGCACTCACATTTACACAGAAGGGAAAGAAAAAAGGAGGAAAGGGAACCACAATGAGAACATTATCTTTTTATTAACTGATCTATCTCCAGTCTTTTGCAAGCATCAAGGACTCCATATAATAATATTAACTTGAATTCATGTAGAACCTTCCACAATTTTATAACATGAAATGAAGAAGACTATATTAAGCAACTCAAACACAGCAGAAGGAGTTCAGACAGACAGCTACATGAGCTATCAGCTATCTAAGCTAAAGCCTGGCCAGGTTGTCTAAGCTGAAAAGTACTAGGAGCACTTCAAAGACCACAAGTGAAAAGACCTTGGATTTTCATCTCACTCAAAAGCCGAGATCCTGAAATAAAATGCGTCTCTGCCTGCCCTAAGGCAGATGTTCAATACTTATTCAAAGGGGAGAGTACGGCCGATTAAATAACAAATATTACTTCCTACAGAAAAACGGCAGTCTCTTAATGCAGGCCTCTGACCAAACTGCTGACACTTCTGACCCTTCAGAGCTTGTAAGATTTGATCCGTTCACATATCAAGGTAGAAAAGCTACAGGCTTATCAAGGGGCCAATTTGAAATTCTTATTTCAGGCCACTCTGCAAGATAAGCAACATTCCACAGCACCGCAGATAAGGGCACATTTCCTTACCACACATGCAAATGCATTTATATAACCCTTATCCCAAGCAACAACAAACAAACAAAAAAACAGAAGAAGTAAAACAAAAAGGCTGCTCTTTGCTTATCAAACATTACAGCTGCCCAAGCACTAAATGACGAAGCAAACGTTTTAAGTCTTGGGAACAGACCCACAGCAAGGTCTCTTCCACAATACGGAGCAACCAAAGAAGCAGATATATTTTTAAAAATTCATTTATTCCTCTTCCATGTCAAAAAGACTTATTTAATTTCCACCAGAAGCTGGCACATCATGCTCTCTTGTCCACTTAATGGGTGTCATCAGGTTCCTTATTAAGATAAAGCTATTGTAGGAAACCTGCCTGTTTTCCTACCTGTTGGGTATTTTTCACACTTTCCCTTTTTTATTTATTAATCAAACTACTTAACATTGCAAATATACTGTCCCTCCTCCCCCCCGCAAAGGAAAGTGGGGGATTTCTTTGCAGTTCATGGCTTTCATATGGTAAGTGAATGGGTAAATTAAAAAAAAGTCATGCGTCTCAGCGGAACAAAGCATTTGGGGAAAATTTTTAGAAGTTGCAGGGAGCAGTGTCAGTGAATAGAAAGCAACCATTTATCCACAGAAAAAAATCAGCAGGAGGTTGCAAGATATGCAGCCCCCATACTTTATTTTACATCTAACATCCTCCGGTCGATTGGTTTTCCTGTTACAATTTAGCTCTCAGTATGTGACTTACATATTTAAGCTAACTCAGTCTTTCATTTATGTTCCTTCAAAATATTCCCCATATGGAAAATATTTGCCTTTGGCATAATTAATAAAAATTAATGTCACTTTGAGAAGGAATGTGTCCTGTTATCCTTGAACTTGTTTTACCAGGAAGAGTTTAGATCTGTTTCTGCAATGAGCTACCACCTCCCTCCTACTCCTAGCACAAAAGCTGCCCAGAAAGTTTTGCTATCTCCACGGACATACCTGGTGTACACAGATATTGCATTTGTCACAAAACACCATTTCATTGCCATCCTCTCCATCTGGGGACTGGCAAACATCACAGACGACATCCTCATCATACTCGATCCCAAGCCCTTCTTCAGTCTCAATAGCATGGTTCATGTTGTCATAGCATCTCTGTTCAAATTCCTCCATGACTCTTTCCATAGTGTACTCATCCAGTTCAGGCATCCCTAGGAAATGAATCCAACACAAATGATTAATTTTTAATAGCGTAGAACACCTGTTTCCGCTAATCAGTGGCTCCTCAATTCTGCAGATAATTTCTAACATATAAAATAAATTGCAGTTTTGGGCTCACCATGGTAAATATGGCAAAAAATGTCAAAAACCCTGGGGCTTTAAAGTAATGGAAATGTTCTCACTTAAATGAACTTTTGAAATCATTGGGAAAGCTGAGTTTTCACAACTGCTCCTATTTCTCTAGCTTATTGCTCCTGATCTCACTTTTCCTCCTTGTTGTACAACATTATCTAAAGGTGTCTGTTTCAACTTTGCAACATCAACCATATCAGGAAATGTTGACTCTTGAGAGTGATTCTAGGGTCAAAGCACTCACAAATGAGCAAAGAGCATTCTGTCAAAATGATGAGACAGTCAAATACAAAATGTATCACGTGCAACCTAATCAACAACCTAAACTGGACAAAATAGTATTTTATTAGTAGTGGGACATTTTTATAATGCCTGATCCAAACTAGAATCCCTAGCCAAGAAAAAGTAGTACCAAGACACAAATATTCCAAAAAATATCAGAAACTCAGCACTAAATACAGCACCCAAATGTCAGATTTTGCACCATTTTGCAGGACCAGAAATGCTTTCAAGTTGGTGATGCAACTATTTCTACACAACCTCCTTACACAGAAACTAGTAATGTATTTGCTACCCCAATGCAATCCTTCTCCCATTCCAATGCTAGTTTAATGTAAGCATTTCCAATCTGAGATATTCTTGGAAGTCTGCAACAAGATATAAATTTTGGAAAAAAAGACCGTCGACAGTCTTCCTCCCAATAACTGATGTTTACTGGGAGATACTGAACAACTGGCAGCCGCCTGACAATCATATTAAGGAGCCAATCCTCTCCTCAACTCTCAGTGTCAATCACTCAGCCATGGGCTGAGGTGCTTCAAACAAAGGTGAAAAAATAATTACTCACTCCCCCAGATCATAGATTTACAGTATAAATGCCAGTGAGTACTCCCACCAAATAACTTCCCATACCACAGGAAATGGACTGAAGAACGTTTGTCGCAGGGCATGCCCTGCCTGGTTCAGCCCACCCCTTCTCTCAACTGAAGAGCCAGAGGGTAACCACACAGACAGTATCCCAAATTCTGCTCCCCCCTCAACACTTTTATAATGTTCTCTGTACCCTTGGAGCAAAAGATATTTTGCCCCAGTGACAAAGGAGGAGGTGATGGACTGAAAGATGAGTTAGTACAGCATGTCGTTAAAAAGCAGTTTAACACTGGCACTCAATTCCACTGTAAACTGTTCTATCACCTACAAGACATGCTTAGTTGCCTGAAATTTTCTACACAAATTGGTCTATATTGTGATTAAATGGTCATTAAGTTCAGAAATGTTAAGGATTTTTTTTTAAGTTTTATCATTTACATTTGCTCTTTTGGAAAAAGAATATGCATTCTAAACATCAAAAAGCATTCCAGAGAGCACCATAGTTAACCAAAGGAATTCGCAACTGCAGGTGGGCATCAAATAAATCCTACTGCTGAAGATTAAAAAGCAGCTTAGGTTTCTTTTTTTTACTGGCCATAAATTATATCCATAGAAATTAAAATCTGATAAGCGTACTCAAACATCATACATCAGGGTCCCGCATGCACTGTCGGCTGGGGAACATACGGTAACTTCCCTCCTGTATAACTACATGTGTACAGATTTATAGCAAATAAACTACTATGCGCTAGCAGATCAGCCACAAAAATCTATAACAACAGAATGTTAAGCATCTAAGTAGAACCTGTCGAATCCAGACAGTTCAGTATTAAGGACGAGACTCTGACTTTAAAGGTTCATGTCTAGGTATTCCATGCTGCTTTAAATCACAGAAGACCAAAATGCATCCCAAGTTTTATCAGTGTGGTTCCACTTAAGTTATAATGGCATTACAAAGAGCTAAATCTGGCCCTAAGTATTTAAGGAAATCTGCAGGAGCTGAGTGCCTAAGACACAGATCTTCCAACAAACGGAATTAATGTCATACTGTACTTTATGTACGGTACTGCTGTAATCTATGCTACAAGGTCAACAGCTCTCTTCCTTCCCTGTGGAAAAAGGGCAGGAGAGAAAGGTGGAGAGAATGCCTGATTCTCAGCCTGTCTACTCTCTTCTTACAGTTTATTTAAATACAGCTGAAAGGTTTTTAAAAATAAGCCTGAAATGTAACTTGAAGCTAAAGTCGCATCTTTGGTCTTCCAAATCCATCTCTGAGAGTTGGGGAAAATGACCAATGGTGAGCTGATGATTTTGTTTGTTGATTGTGCGTGTCTTGTTGTTTTTTTCCAGGATAAACTTTTAAATGTATATTTGATTTATAAACCCCTTCCTGGCTTACCAGGTCTTCTGACCATGTGGGTCCCTGGGCCATGTCCAGGTAAACCCATAAAACTACAACTCTAACCCAAATGAGGGAACTGTCACAAAGTAAGAACTGACAGTATTATCTGTGCCTCCCAATAGCTCAAAACCTATTCCATTTGGCATAATATTTTTTCCCCCACGTGTAAACGTTGTGGTCAAAACTCTGTCCTAACTTACGTACGTCCTGTCCTGAACAATATCTCAATGAAATCAACAAGGTGCTTCCACTTATTCCCTTCTCAAACACACCACCCCTCCTTGGGGGAACAGAACTCTCAGACTCAGGAAACAAACCATTTTTTTCCTGTTTGGAAACTAAGGACACAGTAGAAGAAGTGTTTGGGAGGTTTTCAAATGAATCACCAAGCTCATTCTTTACTGTCTCACTCACTGAGCAACCTCAGTGGGGTTTCTGCTTTTAAACCTCCCAAACACTTGTTTCTACTTCATTCCTGGCATAAAAATAGACACAGCTACCTAAAAGGGAAACAGGAACAAAACAAAAGAATGGGTGGATGAACAGACTCACTACTTGAACAGCCAACCCTGATATTCTCTAAGGAGCTAAATGGTGACAGAAAGAGCTCTGTGAGAATTCATACAGAGGGGTGCAAGGGGCAGAAAGTAAAATCTTGGGACCAAGATCTCATCTGGCCTAAACAGGTGCAAATCTACTGACCTTAAAGGGAGCTTCAGATCTGACATTCACACCAGGTGTAGTTTGTGGCAACCATGTCACCCTGAGAGTAAGGGCTGGTGTTTTTTAAAAATCAAATCACAGATAATTACATCCTAATGTATACATGTAAAAACTGCTCCCTTCAGTCTTAGCACCCACAAGCCTTCATAGCCTCCTGTTTTAAACACAGCGGTGTGTTTAACATGGATAACAAGATGACTGAGGGCTTTTCTCACCCATCTCTTTAAATTCTTCGTTGGCCAGTTCCAACCACGCTACATCCACATCATTAAGGTCATAGCGACATACGCTGTCTGCTAAAGTTCGGATGTCAACGTATCCCAACTCAGGAGGCTCAGAACCCGATGAAAGGATGTATTTCCGGGGGCGTGTAAATGTGACTGCTTTTGTCTCGGACACAACCCTGAAAAGGGAGTAAAAAAAAGGCATTACTTACCACAGGTCATAAATTACCTAGTCCTATATTGGGAAATCTCAATCCTGCTGAGTGATTAGTACCTAGGGGTTTCAAAAAGCCACCTCCTTATTCCAGGTGGCTAAATATCCCCACTAATCTTCTAGCACTTACTTTGTACAAAGCTGCAAGGAAGAAAAATGGGTACATAAAACAAAACATGATACATACACATATATTTTCAAAAGTGACCTTCAGTGCCACAAAAAAAATAACACTTTTTGAAATTCAAGTTCTAAGGCCTGGCACTCAGCATTATACATTTCTTCTACTGCAACCATTGATGCCAAACTGGCCTGGACCTTAGAACAAAATTCATCTACCACTTATATAATCAACTGCAGCTTAAATATGTTCCAACATGGTTTGGAGGGGGTCTAGTACAATGACCTGCCAAACCACAGTAAATGCTATTCTGGCTGCAAGTGTATTTAAAATGTACATAAGCACACTTGTTAAAGACTTGACTGCAGAGGCGTGGGAGACAGCAGGACACCTAAAATAGTATAACTAATTCTTCTTTAGTGCCTGGGACACAAGGCCATTAGCAAGGAAAAATGCATGTGGACTGGAAAGGGGCAGCAATCCCTGTTCTAGACACAGGCTGTCCTGCCAGCTGACAGCTTCAGCATGTTTCCAGGAGCAGAGGTAGGTGCCATTTCCCACTCCACAGCACAGAACTCCCAGGAGATGGAGGCTCCACAGACTCCGTTTTCTCTAAGCACTCTGAGATCCCACTTCTATGAAGGATAATAAAACATATAAAGATTATATCTGGAACAGTTCCAGCCAATGCTGACAAAACTGCAGCTTCTGAGGGCCCTCCGTTATGGCATCCTCACCAGCATGAATATGATTTTACTGCTCAAGCCCTAGCTCCTCATGATGCAGACCAAGAAGCAACCTCAGAGACAGCTCTTTGGTGTCACACAGATGTGAGATATCCTTTGCTCTACTGCAAGCTGGGGAAAAATATTTTTTTTCTTGTTTGTTTAAGAAACCTTGATCCCCAAGTTCCATTATCACCGGGATCCGGGTTTTCCGTTTCCCACAGAAAAACGGAATAAACACAGATTTTCCCTTGTATCCGCGAAAAACACGGATTTTTCATTTTAACAGAGAAATACTCAGATATTCCACTTTTGCAAAGAACTGTCTGCAGGCTGGCAGAGTTCCAGCCTGGAAGGGGTTGGGGGGAGTGGGAGAAGGGCGGTCAGGCAGGCAGCACCATGTGCATGCTCACACATGCACCTGGCCACCACACAGCCTGGAGAGCAGCTCCCACAGGTAAGTCTGGCAGAGAGGGAGGGAGGAACGGAGGGAGGGAAGGAAGGAGTGAGTTGGGCAGGGGCTGAGGCTCGTCCAGGGGGGTTGGCTCCCTACCACTGCAAGCACTCTCAGGAAGGGAAGGGGGGGCACATGCCCCCCCCAGATTTATGCATGGAGCAGGATGCAGATGCAGGCTGCTCACTGCAGGCTTAGGCTCCCTGCCCTGCTACTTTTCCGCCCCCATGGCCGGTGCAGCCCAGCAGGTGGGACCCGGGGTAACAGGGCAGAGCAGGGCTGGGAGGGGAAGCTCCTTGCTGTTGCAAGCCCTGAGCCACCCCGGCGAAGCACCCCCTGCCTGCTCAGCAGCAGCTGGAGTGATGGCACAGAGTTGTGCCCCTCGCTGCTGCTGGGCAGACAGAGGGTGGCACCTTGCCACAGCAGCATGGCACTCCCGACAGTGGCAACGAGCTTCTCCACCCAGCCTTGCCATGCTGGGTCTCGGCCACTTGGCTGCGGAAGCCCTGAGGGGACGGCAGCAGAGCAGGGAGCCTGAGCCTAAGCCTGCAGCGGGCAGTCGGCACACACCCCCCGCCCCCAATGGGCTCCACTCTGGCCGTGCCACCGGGCGGGGGGCAGTGCTTGGCCCCATAGCCCTGGCAGCTGGAGGCCCCTTCCTGGCGAGGCTCTGGGTGGAGAGTGAGGGGCACCAGCAGGGCTGGGAGCAGTAGCTTGGGAGTGAGGGACCTGGACCCGAGTCCTGGTGAGCGAAGGGGGCAGAAGGAGCTCTGATTTTCCATGATAAAAAACCCAAAATCAAATACCAAAATTTAGAGGTACTTAGAATTTATTTTATTATAGTGATTGAGGCTCTAGTAGGATTCCAAGTTGCTTTAAAATGGAAAATATATATCAATAAAACATTGTGTTCAATTTATACCTATATGTATAGGGGAGTTTCATTTTAATCACGCATTTGGGGTTTTTAATCAGAGAATTTGTGAGGGCTTTTATCAGAGAATTTGCAATTTTTAAACACAGAAAACGAGGATCACTGTTATCACTGCACATACGCAGTTCTGGACATATTCCTCTGTCTGTTCCAGTCTCCTGCAATACAGTGCATTCCCTGATCTAACATATTGTAGGAATTTAAAACACAATGAAGGAGAAAAATCAAATCAAATCTTCGGCTTTGCACCTGAGGGAAGGGAGAAGGAATCAGAATCTGAACACCTTTATAGGGAGCCCAAGATATACTTGAGTTTTCCTGGCTGTACCACAATAAAGCAACACAGACTACAATGCCATAGGGTACAATGTTGTACCTGACCACTGCTCTCTTGATCTTCTACACAAAGATTATTTTCTCATAATTATCCTAGTTCATGTTTCCATACTGAGAAACTATGGTGGCAACACAGTATGGATGAGAACAGGTAGTCTGGCCTCAGAATAATCCATTTGCAAAGGATTTCATTTTTTTTATATTCATGATAGGAAAAAAATAAAACTGAACTGAAATTATGATATGCACAAAAACACATGCATTTGAGCCATCAACCTAAGCACACATTCACAATGCATCAACACATGGCGGCCCTTGCCCTAACTCTCCCTGTCTCTCCCTGCACCCCACTGTTTGTTACCCTCACTAATCACATCAGGGCCAACAACTTTGTCTCTTTGCTTCTTCCTACAAACTATCTTGTGCTTCGGGCACTATAATAATAATAGAGATTGCTGATCTGTGAAATACATTGTATTTTCCTCTGAGTTCCTGTGTTCCTGGAGTCCCTGTGTTCCTAGACAGTAGTAGTGAGAAAGCTTCCTCTGCATTTGTGTACTTGTTACATTTATGTTTTGTTATCCTATGTTACGATTCCACTCACATGGCTTACATTGTACTTACTTACTCCACCATAAGATAGTACTGTCTCCAACAGTACTATCTTACAGTAGAGTTAATTAATTTACTACACCCTAATATCAGTGCACGTGAAGACAGTGACGCTTTACTGAGGAGCTAATTAGTCAACTCCGCAGTACAGCGCATCCTCCATCTACATTTTATAAAGGGACTGGGAAGAAGGAAAATAAATTAAAAATTTGCCACGCGAGTGGAATCGTAACATAGAATAACAAAAAATAAATGTAATGCGTACACAAATGCAGAGGAAGATTTCTTACTACTACTCTCTAGGAACACACAAAGCTACCATGCTGGATCATATCAGTGGTCTAGTAATTTATCTCCAAGAGTGGTCTGCATTCAATGTCTCAAATATTAGTATAAAAACCCGACAACACAATTATGCACTAAGCTACCCAAGGGGGGAGTTTCTTCCTGACTCAAGAAGCTAGTGGTTAATTTATGCCCTGAAATATGAGGGTTTATTATCCTTATAAATTTTTATTCCACCTAAAGCAACTACAAATATTCTTGTTATACATATAAATGTCTAAAGGCTGCATTCTCTTCCTCTTTCAATATCACTTTTCACAGTGAAGGGAGACATTACATAAAACTTCCTAAAACTGTTTTTTAAAGGATTTTTTTAATGTAAGGAGTCATGCTCTAGCTGCAGTATACCATGCATTAATAAGCTACTAGTGCTCTTCTTAGCTTGTTACACACACTTGGCCTTCAGCCACAAACCTTGTAACATACTGAAGGTACAAGAGACAGGCTGCTAATATCTATCCCAATACTGGTTGTTACTGCAGTAGCCTAATGCTGAGTGCAGGTAAGCAGACTCAGATAGCTGCTGTATCAACTATTATACAATATATCATATGGACATATTCCATGACCAAAAAACTATGACTGAATTAAGGTTTAGCATGTACTATTCTTAAAGACAAATCCAAAACCAATGGCATATGATATGCTTTTTCCTCCTTTTATCTTCTCAAAGATTTCAGCCAATAAGCTACTTAGTTTGTAAGCTCTTCAGAGCAGGGATCATCTTTTCAATTGTGTGTGTGTGTGCGCGCATGCCCCATGGTTGATACAGTGGACTCCTGTTCCATGACTGGGATAGCACTGCCACAGTATAAAACAAACAATATTAATATGCTTGAATTAATATTTATAAGTGGGCAGTATATTAAAGTTACTTAATATGATACAGATGTTTTACAGTAGGCTCCTCCCTAATGAGCATACAACTCCATGTGAAACAAGGCCCAACAACTGTGTATACAAAGAGGGTAGGGAAGATTAAGTTACCTTGGGTAACAGTAGTGAAACTAAATAATTACAATAGCTAGATATGTGCATAACAGGATGGTTCTGCTGGTTTGATGGCTCTCTATGCAGTTGCAGTCTGTACAAAAAGCTAATTTTTAAGCAATGAGTAAACAGAAGAAAGCTCAAAAATATCATATAAACAAATGAAACAACCAGCAATTTCTGTGTAATTGAAATCTGGCTTCTCTGATTGAATCCAAAATTTAAAAAAAGAAACAGCATTTTTCTCTGACTCAAAACTAAGCATTATAATTACACAGATTTTTTTTAATAACGTTGGATGTGGCCAAAGTCAGGCTTATAGTGGAAACTACTTTTTAGGCTTGGTAACAGCGATGTCAAAAAAGGTCAAGATTTTCATCAATGTCACATTTAGACACCTAAATAAAAGTGGCCTTATTTTTAAGGACCTTGAGTAATTACAACTTCCCCAGACTTCAGTAGGAGGAAGTAGATTTGTACAATGCCTCAGAAAATTCAGGCCATTTCTAACCAGAAATATAAATATGATTCAAGAAGCCCTTGCATCCAGAGGGAAAACTGCTGGCCTGAATTTATGTGCATTTGTTTACATTTCTCCAAACTATACCTGGCTATAGGTTCGGGGATGGTCCCTGGGCTAACTGGCACCTGAACTCCCTTTTCCCACTCCTGCCTCCAGGGGTCTGCCAGCACGTAGTACTCATCAGGGTTCAGTTGGTAGGAGTCATGTAACTTCATGGCAGTGATCAGGTCCGTTCTGAACACCTGCAAAGAGAGCGACCGAGAGAGAGAAGAGAGAGAGAGACTGACATTTGATATTTACATTCTATGATTCACAGCTCCAGGGTAACCATGGAGCACAGTGCATAACAAGGTCACTGTATCAACACTAAACTAACGTGACCTATTAGAGGACAGACATTTAACTTCACATCAGCAGGGAGGCAGAGGAAAGGAAAGGGACATCAGTACAGCGGACTTAGCAGCTGATAGCTATAATCCCTGATGCTCCCACTGCACAAGAGGCATAATCTTGGGTGATTCCACATGCCTGTACTTCTCACTCATTTTAATAAGACCTGCGGGAGCTCAGAGGAGCCTCTCACGATCGGTCCCCAAAACTGTAGCATTAGTCAACAGCAAAGAGCCAATCCTGCTCCATGACAGCTATGTGCTAGGAGCCCAATGACTTAAAATGGAAGCAGAACTGTCCCGAGCTTTTTGAATTATTAGAAGCACTTATGAAGGAATTGTAGAAAGGAACTCTACAAATTCTCTGTGGCAGAAATCAAAGTGTGACTATAAAATGACCAGCTGCAAGAGGAAACTCTTAACAAGGCAGCTCTTCCTACAAATATTTTTTAAAGTAACACAAAAGATCTAGCCAAACAAACCCCAATCTAGATTTCTTGGGCAGCTCCACATTCAGCAGTTGTGTATGTTCACCTACCAGCTACACACACATCTGCCTTACAACCATAACTTCATTTTGCCTTTGCAGGGCATCTGCCTCTAAAACCAGCAAGATGTCTGGTGAATTACAGGTTACTGGCTATAAATAAGCAAGGATGCTGTCTTTAACCAGCCATAGACAGAAATAAAAATGGATTCACTCTTGCAGGTTTGCTCCTGTCAGCAGTACAGAAAGGGAATGATGATATCAGAGGCATGAGAACAGCAAGACTGTACTTGCCCACACTTCTTCCAGCATCCAGCAACCAAAGCTGCTACATTACAGCAATAATTAATAGAGTACTTTTCACCTGCTCAGCTTTTTACAAATATTAACTTATTAATGCTACAAAAGAGATGCAATGGGTTAAAAAGCAAACAAGCTACAAAAATGAAAAGGTAAGGCTGTAAACCATGTCCTTTGTCAAACAGAATAAGTGAATCAGCCCATCCAGTGCCAGCCAGGAAAACCACAAGAGAGATAACATCTAAAAAAAAAAAAAGCTCTACTGCAGATGCATCAGTTCATGGCAGGTAGTCAGCAAAGCACATATCCAGCTCCATATCACCAAGTTATGAGGCTGTGAGCATATTTTCAGGAAGATAATATATCATCCCTAACTTCTCCAAACACTGCTAGTGATGCAAATTTATGTTGCGCTTAAAACACACTCGCTAGGAATCCTTAAGCCCACCTACATATAGGCCACTTTGTGTTAGTACCCACAGCCAGAGAGATCTCGTGTCAGAATAAGCACAGATCCATAAAGCAGGTGCCTCATCTGTAGTTACACAGTTCATAAGGCAGAATGCCCTGAAGAGAGTGGCTTATTTTATATGCCTCTAAAGCACTTCAAATGACAACAGATCTATTTTTATAAACATTTTAGGATCAGTTGGATCACTTAGTTCTCAAAAAAGAAAAGTAGAAAAAGTCTACCCCATGCTGTATCCTAAAACCTTTTGAAATGCCCTACCCCTTTAGCCTGACTTCAAATGAACACACTCCCCCAGTCCATTACACCTCTGACTTCTTCAACAGGGACTATCAAAGCATGATTTGTTCCTATGTTTCAAAACAGTTAATGCTCCTGGGGATATTTTTTAAATGTAATTTCAGGTGTGAATCTGCATTTTGTAAAATAAATTCCCACTATAATCAAACATTAATTTAGAACAGTTATTCAAGAAAAGGAGAAAAGGGTGAGTATAGGCAAGGTAAATATGATAAAATGGTTAAAATAATCCAAGCATCAATCCCATGGGGCTGGAACCAAAAAATAAAAATAGTTCCACAAAATAAGCTTGATCTCACAGTAAACTAACAGAGATAGCTATGGGATTTTGAGGCTAGTTGGGGATCGTCCTGCTTTGAGCAGGGAGTTGAACTAGATGACCGCCTAAAGTTCCTCCCAACTCTAATTTTCGATAATTCTATGGTTCTGTGTTGGACCTCTGGGCTGGCTTTTCTGGGCACTAGATGAGACGTTAATGACCATCAAGAAAATTCTTTCCAAGATTCACTGCTTCGCATCACAGTCCTTTCTGCTGTAATTTTTGATGCAATCAATATGCCCAGAGCATCAATAACAAAAATATATATATTGATCTCTGAAGCTTGCAGCACTTTAAAAATAAGGGGTGAAATTCTGGCTCGCTGAAGTCCATGGGAATCTTCCCATTGCTTAAATGGGGCCAGGATTTCAGCCAGGGAGTACGAGGATCACTTCTCTGCCAGCATTTAGGAATCAGCAGAAGCATGCTGTTGCAGGCAGAGACAATACAAGGAGAAAAGGACATGCAGGAAAGCTGCAGATGGAAGCAGAAGACTACTCAGACTGACAAGAAAGTCAAAGGGAGGAAACACCAAGAGGCAGAAAGAACTGCAGAGTAGCAAGTGTGGATGAAGAAACAAAAAGACACCATAAAAACAAGAATGGATAAAGACAGCCAAAATCAGGATTCAGCAGTAACCCTGGTTATTTACTTCATGGAGAAGCAGCTTCTCTAGCTGCATTTCTAACACTGAAGAGTGTGGATTCATGAAGTCTCAAGAGATATATTCTCATCAGCAAAGTACAACTTTTCTCCTAACATCAGTAATTGAAGCATTTGGACACAGTGATGCTGACCAAACCCAAGAAATTCCATCTTGGTTTTGCTCCCACATAACCTGAAGTCTCTAGCGACTGCCTCAGACCACTTCTGGCAATGGCAGCTGCAAAGTGATAGTATCCATTTGGTGCCAATGATTACTCCCCCCCGCCAAAAAAAAGTTCAAACTGATTTCCATTTCCTTCCTTGACTCGAATTCCTCAAAGCAGCGTATATGAAGCTTAAAAGGGATAGATTTCTGGTTTGGTAAGTCTGTTAACATAGATTATTCATTAAGGTCAAATAACGGCTAGGAAGCTACTGCAGCTAAAAATAAAACTTTCACAGTTCACCAGAAATCAAAATCAAATCATCCAAAACTTTAAAAGAAAAAAAAGTCAGAGCTATGTTAAGTTGGTTCCAAACTAACCCAATATTCATAGCTAAAAACTAACTTGGTACTGGCAGTGACTGTGGTATCAGCTGACCTCCCTGATCTCCTGGCCAGATGAAAGGTGTTGGGTGTGCCAGTTCAGATGGAGCAGAAAAGGAAAGAAAATATAATTAGGAAGAAATGTATTAATTAACAAGGCACATGTACATTTTACCAGAAAAAGCAAAATGCAAATATTGTTCTAGAAATACCTCGGAAGGTTTTCTGTCTTCGTGTCTAGAACATGAACTCCGCCGATGTCGGGACCTGGAATGCTGGGACCAGGTGGACAAGCCTAGGATACAAAAAGGATCAACTGAAAATAGGGCACGTGTCAGGGCTCTGTTCGCACAAGTAAGCCAGTTAACTTCAATGGGACTGTCATGGTAAGGCAAGCAGGAGTCACCCTTACATCACATACCTGAAAAGTAGGGTTGGCAAGCCGTTCAGTTGTCTGGTCAGATATTGTCAGCTGACCACTCAATCTACTGTATATTTCTGACCGATCAAAGATACCAATTTTACAAAAAAACCTACATATCTTTGTAGTTTCCTTGATAAAATTTGATTTTATTGCTTTTTGGCATATTCTTAAAGGAAAATTTGTGCTCATGTATTGTTTGCACCTACTGGCAATTTTTTACAATTTTTTACCAATATTTGACCAGCCAATTGACCAAACATTATTTGACCGGTCATTATTACCCAACCCTATGGAAAAGGATTCTTTCATAATAGACTAGCAGGGGAAAACTGTGGCTTAGTTCAGCACCTCTGTGATTCCTTCCTTATACTTCTTATTCCCTCTAGATGCATTTACTGCCTTCACAATACAGATATTTATAGAAATTATTCCAAAAAAGCTTCTGCACAACAGTTCTCTATTTGAATACTAGTAATCTAAACAAGGGTCACTTCCTGGCCATTAATAAATGACCAGGAGGTCTAATGATAGCCTGAGGTGAAATCTCTGAAATTACCACACTGATGTCCCAGCGTATCCGTGATGACACTAATATGCTTCTTGACTTCCACTACAATGAGCTTTTTCTCAACTTCAGACAGAATGTATATCAAATATCTATATTAAAAACTTCTTAAGGTTTTGTGATGCTATCTGTCTCCTGCCATAAGACAATATCTGAGCACATCTGTGGGGTTTTAAATGCAGAATTCTTTGTCACTGTTACACAGAACAAATTATTTCTCTGGATCTCAGGATTCTTTAAGAAGAATGGTTGCCTCAGTCTACTTCCAGAAAGCTTATTCTAGCAGAACTCAGGATGCAGGTACACCATCCTGCTGCAAATGCTGTGACAACAGAATATAACCTGTGATCAAGACCTGCTTACAGAAAGCCTGTATCAATCAATTCAATTAAATCCAGTGAGAGTTTATTGGTGTGATGAGGTATACAAAAGTTGCAAAGGTCAAAATATGTCAACAGTAAAAGAAAGAGTCAATGGATGAGTGTGATGGTGAAGGGGATGGAGGTCTGAACAAATGAACCAACCATTACTAATTTATGTCAAAAAGGCAAACAAAAAGTCACCACTGCACCACTTAAATCCGACGCACACCCTTTTTTGAGGTGTAAAGATAAACATAAATGGTGCAGCAATCTCCACAAAATAATCACTCGGCACAAGAGTGAGTGTCAAGCTAAATCACCCAAAGGGGGGCAGAGAGTGGGGGAGCACAAAACCAACCATAAGGCGTAGTTAAATGCACAAAACATGTAAGTGAGGAACACGGTGATTTATGTTTTCTTTAATCCAATCTAAAAGTAAAGTCTGCATATGATCTACAGGGGGCACAACAATGAGCAGGCTTACCTCTCTAGCTGCTGCTACTCAATTGCTTACTACACGGGAAGATTTTTTTTTTCATTCTGCCTTTCATAAACAAGGTGTGTATCTTATGTCAGGGCATGCTGTATGTGAGAAAATACAATATTAAAAAATGACTGCCTCCTTACACACACAGAAGCTGATGATAACAGAAAGAAGTGCTTTTAGACTGTTGCATTTTTCTAGCCAAGTTAACAGGCTGTTTATAATCAAGTTACAGTCCAAGGTCTATTCCAAGCCTGGATGGTCCATCAGACAGCATGTTTAAGGTATTCCTTTTTCTACAGCCAGCACCGTACAAAGGACCAATGGGATCAGCAGTATCACTTCCAACCACCTTTTACTCCCCAGGCTCAAGTTCAAAGCAAAACTCAAACTCACACTTCTTGATCCATGGGGAGATGTATTAACCCTTCTCCCAGTACGGCCCCAAAGTACTGACTAGCAGAAATAAACAATAAATGTAAGAGACCTTCTAGAGGAACTGAAGATTTTACTGATCATAGGGGCCGCATTTACATGAGCATGGGCATTTGGTTCCCAAGAGACAGCTAGCAGCGGGACACCTTGTGCTGCCACTAGCGTCCCTAGGGAACACCTCTGCCATGCGCCCTCTGGTGCGCAGCAGGTTACTCTGGGTGGGGTAGGAGGGGCTGGGGCAAGCACTGAGCTGGCCCCAGCAGCATTACCTGCAGACCTGGGGGCCTCCTGGAGCTACAGCAGCGGCGATCCTGCCGCTTGGAGGCAGGCTCCAGTTTTGAGCAGCACACACTGCCCCTGTGTGCACCGCTCCAGGTTTTTTTGCACAGGTTTTTCTGACCCCCAGATATTCAGAGTTCAAAAAAAAAAAAAACCCAAAACCACAAAACCCCACGCTGCTACCTTGAAGTGCAGAGAACAGCTGAATGTGTAGTATGCAGTGCTGCAGATGTGTCTGCAGCACCACATACCGCACGGCCATACTTGTCTGGACATAGCCTAGGACACACAACTGTAGGTAATAGATGGCCAATGTCATGTAATTTCAACATAAACAAACTTTCAATGAATAAACACAGTATCAAACAGTTAAGTATGGAGGATAACAAGTGCAAACACTGATAGATTTAGATAACACCATTTAGATGTACAGCTACTGTACTAGAAATTACAGGAGCAAGACAAGTGATAATTTGGAACCTATTACAGAAGTAATATAATTACTATGTAATATTTAAGAGAAGAGCTTCAAATTAAGGATGTAAATACTGATTTTAAAAGTACTCATTTAACCTGTTGTAATTAAAATGGTTAAACGATTAATCAGTATGGCAACCCCTGGCCTGGCCCACATGGAGCTGCTCGGGCCCAACCTGCAGGACACCCTTTCCCAGCCCAGCACCAGTGGGGCACTTCCAGCCCCCCCACCACAGTGTGCAGCGAGGCCTCAGCAGCTCCCCAGGGCTGCACCTCACAACAAGCCAGGCGGGTGGGTAGGTCCTCTCTGAGCCGGGATCCAGGTGCAGACAGGGTGGGCAGGGCACATTGTGGGGTTAAGCCACAGGCCCAGGGGATTCACCCTGCACCCACTTACCTCCACCTTGTCCCCTGCCAGGCCCCATGGCAGCTGTAGCAACAGAAGACACCGCATCCAGCCAGGCACAGGGCTGGGGACAGGCACAGTGACACTGAGCTCCAGGCCACAGCGCTGCAAAGTCAGATGGGGGGGTGCTGAGTCCTGGGCTGGCTCCTGCCCCACCCCACCCTGCCATGGAAGAGGGGCTGCACCATCTGTAGCAGCGTGGAGAGGTGGGAGCCCAAGCAGCCCCACCACGCAGGCAACACAGCCCAGGAGCCATACGTGGCAGCAACCAGCAAACCTGCTGCAGCCACCCGTGCGTAGCTTCCCAGGACCAGGTGCAGCAGCACAGGAGATAGGTGAGAGGCAAGCAGCACAGTTTTGCCAGGCAGGCAGCAGCATCACAGCAGGCAGCAGGGGCCTGCCCCGAGCGCAGGCGGCTTGTGACATGCTGTGGGGAAGCTACAAGCAGCCATACCAGGGTCCATGGAGCCTAGCTATTAGGTATTAGTCACCTCTACCCCTCCTCCTCGCTCCTCTCTCCCTCCCTCCTGCCCTGCTGTTTTCTGGTTCCTGCTGGGGCACCGCCTGACTTCCTGTCCCCCTTTTCCCTCCCAATGTGTGCCCAACCCCAGGCTAAACAATAACCAGTAAACTAGAACTGGTCATCACTGGGCTGATCAGTTAAACAATTAATCATTAACGATTCACATCCCTACTTCAAATCTGCTCAATGAAAATCAATGGCAAGATACCAATGCCTGTAGTGAAGCGATATTTTTAACAAAAAGGGATTTGACTAAATCAACTTAAGCATCCATTTTGGGGATAAACCAAGATTATAAATATTAATTAAATAACTCAGGCACAGAAGAAAAAAGATGGACGCGTGAAAGACAAATCACACCATCTCCTTTCTTAATATATATATGGTAACAAGGTAATCCCTCAATAATTGTTTAAAGAAAGTCATCACCAATTACTGTTACTTCACTGATAAATAGACCTGATACGTGTGTCCAAACAGAGGTCTCAAAGGACAGCCTGGAGTATAAGAAAATGGCTACTTGCTATGGCCAAAATAAAAGTTGCACCACAGGTGTAGAAGCAACATAGTGCTCTTGTCTGATATACTCTGTGGATAAACTCGCAAGACATGAACCTCATATATTAAAAAGTCACTAAGACATTTCCAAAATCAATCTTCTCCCTATCACAGTCAACATCCTTTCCCAGATTCAAGACTAAAGCATGGGATAGTGATCCCCAACATTAGTAAAGCCATAAAAAAGACAAAGTTTTAGAGCTAAATTCCAGTCTCTGAAAAAAAATACTAGAGATATCAGAAAGTGTACAGTGCTGGAATTTTAAAAGTAAAACATCCCTAACCAAACATTTCGCCCTGGGGAAAATCTTGTTTGTATATTACATGAATTAATTCAACAACAGATGGAAAATGAATGACAAATAGTAGTTCTATCAGAGTTCTTCTCCATGCCAAAACCTGCAGGATCTATAGTGAATAAGAAATGCACAACTACAAAACACAACAGTAACAAAACTTATCCAAAACACACAATCTAATCATCATTAGAAAACCAGGTATAAACACATAATTCAAGGGACTTATTCTGTCCTGTGAATATGCAAGGTATGTAAGCAAGGAGTTAATATTAATACTGATTAAGTCATATACATAAATCATCCAAATATCACCTGGAGCAGAGATTACTTCAAAAAAGTACTTTTTTTTTTTTTTAAATGGTTCTGTTCATGTTACGTTCTAGACAGCAAAAATGCTTCTACCAGCCTCTTAACAGGAAAAAAGCCCACTGATTTCAATGAGAATGTAATCAGACCTTTGCTATGGGTCTCTGTTCTGTATTA